TCAGTTGAATTGTATAATAGTTCTTTTGGCTTATATTTGGTAACTGAGTGAATTGAGTTATTGTATTTGTGGGTTGCTAACAGAATCAACTTGGCCATTACTTCGACTGTGAAGTGCTGGAACAGTAAACATAGAAATATTGAATTGATTTTGTAGAAGACTCTGGACAGTTTTTGATGTGAAAGCTCCTTCATTATCCGTGATAATCTGTTTAGTGTCGTAAAATTGCGAGATAATTTCAATAAGTGGATTTTTTACGTCTATTGTATTGCGAGTCGCAATATTCTTTACCACAGCGAATTTTGAAAATTTATCTATGCATGTAATAAAATATTTCCCTCCTGTGTAATATATATCTATGTGAAGAATCTCTCCTGGTGCTTTAGGGATAAGCGTTACTCCTATAGGGTGCAGTATCGGCCTGCGTTTGTATTTATTTTCCCTGCAAATTTTGCAATTTTCGGCAAATGTTTTAACCATTTTTTTCATGTCTGGGAAATAATACTCGGCCAATATTTGTTTACAATTTTCATTGCTTTCCCTATGTGCTCTATTGTGCTCGTTGGCAATTATTTCTAACTGGTCATTTTTATTGAAAGTATCCTGCACGAGTTTGCTAGTGAACCTCATTTTTACTCCTGGAAATGCGTTTACCAGATCGTTTTGAATCATTCCTAAAGTTTCTAAACTGCAATGAATGCCATTTACAACTGCCGCGTTTAATGTGTCTTTCTAAGTGCATATGAAATTTGGGATGGATGAAAACTGCACCATGTGTCTGATTTGTTTTTGAAATAATGCTTTCATTTGCTTACGATCCGAGTTAAGTGAATGTTGAATGAAGATTTGGTTCTTAAAGCAGTTTATAGGATTTGGTACAGAGGGAATAATATTTGTGGATGACTGTTCGCTATGAACAGTAGTTGCGTGTATATGTTGACGTGACAGCGCGTCAGCAACTTTGTTTTCTAATCCTGGCTTATAATAGAATTTCGGAGAATATTCTTCAATAAAACTCCTCCATCTTTTAAGTTTTGTATTTGGGTTTTTTTCGGACATCGCGAAAATTAACGGCTGATGGTCGGTATAAATATGAATATTCGGAGCCCCATATAAATAGTTTCTTAGGCTTTGCAAAGCCCAAACTATTGCTAGCATTTCTCGCTCATTTGTTGCATAGTTTTGTTCGGTTTTACTTAAAGTTCGTGAAACCATCGTTATTGGCCGTCTCTTTTGCGATAAAACGGCTCCGATTGCATCAGCAGATGCATCCGTTGTTAATTCAAAGGGTTTCCTAAAATCGGGATATAAAAGTAACACGTCTTCTGAGGCTAATATAGATTTAATTCTATTAAATGCACCTATCGCTTCAGCGTTTAGCTGAAGTTTTATATACTTAGACTTTCTGGCTGATACGTGCCCGTTTTCTCCACTAAGATATCTTGTTAGATGTTTGGCAATTGCCGCATAACCTTTTACAAATCTACTGTAATACCCCGCCAGCCCTAGAAAAGACCTCAGGCTACGAAGAGATTTTGGTATTTCATAGTTAACTATGTCTTTAATTTTGTTAGGACATGTCTTAATTCCATCACTGGATACCCTAAAGCCTAGAAATTCTACTTCGGTGTGAAAAAATTTTGACTTTTCAGGTGCTACTCGCATATTTGCTTGCAAGAGTTTTGTCAGTATTCTCTTTACAACTGTTGTATGCTCTTCTGTTGACTTGGAAAAGATTATTACGTCATCTATGTACACATGACAACACTTTCCTATTTCC